ATTTATTAAACATACTTTATGTAAAAAAATATATATATATGTTTTGACACAAATTATCTTTAATAAATATGTATTATTATTATTTATATGTTTAATAAACAATTATGTAAATAATACATATTTATTAAAGGAGAACTATGAGGGGGGTGCTTTTCACTCATCCTCATAGTTCTAGCCGACCTGTGACAATGAGACTGTCACAGGTCGGCTCAGTAGATCGGGAAGTGAGCGAACACATACCGTCGCTCGCTCACTTCTCGATCCTGTCCCTGCAGAGAGCGGTGACTGTCCCTCACGGCTCCCTGCAGGGATTCCTCCCCCCCTGTCCGATCCCCCAGCGCTGACTGGCGGAACAGACGGGGGAGGGGGCGGGCACAGCTGGCTCTGCCTCTGGATAGGCAGAGCCAGCTGTCACTCACGCAGCTGGGTGGATCTCGACAGTCGGGATGCGTCCCAGCTGCGGTGGTCTCAGTATACCGCGTGCTGTAGCTCGCAGTACACTGAGCTTTGGGTGATGGGAGTGCGCTAGTTTATGTCCTCGCGTTACCCTAAGGAGAACTGTGGGGAAAAGCCCTGACCCCATAGTTCTCCTTTAAGTGCACCTGTACCCCAGAGTGATAAACACAAAGTCCAATGTGCAAATTGCATTGTTTGGACGATACGCACGACGTCCTCTTTATATTTTGTCTCCCTGTGAAATGCTGACGCTGTCTGCGAGCTGAGGAGGGTATCCGGTCTTCAGTCATACAGGCTTCCCTCCGCTACTAAGGGAAAACGCGCTTTTAGACCTCGTTCTACCCAGGGGGAGCACCGTTCCAATGTTTACATTCACCGGGTGGAGGTGAACGTCTGACAGGATTCTGTGACAACTTCTGTGACAACTGCTCACCTGGAAGTTTGGATCTCTCTAGTGGTGGACTATCCCCGGCATGTATTTACACGATTATAATTGTTGCACATTGGACTTTGTGTTTATCACTCTGAGGTACAGGTGCACTTAGGAGCAAGATCACACGGGGACGCGTACACACACATGTAGAATCACATGCATACACGCAATAGGCTGAACTTGATGGACACGTGTCTGTATTCAGCCTCAAATACTCTGTCACTCTGTCCTCATCTTCGCATGTCTGATACGCGCTTCTGTATATATTTTTTGAATCCTATACTCGTATATCTTATCGCCACATCACATATTTCACTGACTTGTATATATTTATTCATCTCGGCACATGATTGTTTACCTGTTTTAGGTATTTATCTTGAGTGCCTAGTAGCTCTTATTTGCATTTATTTACTGGCGCTGATCACATATTGTTTTTATAATGATGTAAATACATTTATGCGAAAAATATTCATAATTTGGACATCATGTTTAAAGGAGAACTATGGGGTCAGTGTTTTCCCCATAGTTCTCCTTAGGGTAATGGGAGGACACAAACTAGCGTCCTCCCGTTACCTTAAGCTCAGTATACCGCGAGCTACTGCTCGCGGTATACTGAGACGCCGCACCTGGAGCGGATCCCGACGTAGATGACGAGATCCGCCCAGCTGCGTGCGTGACAGCTGGCTCTGCCTATCTAGTGGCAGAGCCAGCTGTACCCCCCCCTCCCCCGGATCGGAGCGGGGAGGGGGGGAATCCAGCCCCTCCCCTGTCACAGCAGAGAGCCGTGACAGGATCGAGAGGTAAGCGAACGCCGGTATGTGATCTACTGAGCCGACCTGTGACAGTCTCATTGTGACAGGTCGGCTAGAACTATGAGGGGAGTGAAAAGCAATCACCTCATAGTTCTCCTTTAATAAATGTGAACTATTATTTACATCATTGTTGTTTATGAAACATTTATGTTGATAATAATAAATGCATATTTATTTATGAAACATCATTTTACATCAAATTGTGTGGGGTGGGCTGTGTGGGACATATAAATGATGTATATTCCTGAACACAGAGCTGCATTACTTTTACACTTGTCTGGTGTTCAGTTTTCACCAAGAGAGCTCCATCCCAGTATCACCTTCTGCTAGTGAATATTTGCTCGGGGTATATTAGTTCCCGGTGATCTCCTCATTGGATCTCTGTTCTTCTCTATTTAATGCAGGCAGATGATGGCTGGTGGGAGGGGCCGGCAGGGTGCTGTACATAGCTTCCTGAAAACATCACAGTGCCCTGCCTCATGACTCCTCTCAAGAGCCCTCAGCCCTGATGCAAGCAGTGGGCCGGCTCTATTTGCATGCAGAGTGGTTTGGGTAACGCCCACGTGTGATGCTGAGCCTCCATGATTGAATGAACTGAAATTTAGTGAATGAAAGGGGCGGAGCCAGGGACGTCCTCCAGCCAGGAAATGAGGCGGGCTCTATCTGACTTGCTGTGGCTATGAAACAGGAAGTTGCAGTGAAATCGATATGAACGGCCGGTCACCGGGGGCTGAATGAGGGAAATCTCGGTGTGTATGGCCGGCCTTGGCAGAGTCCACGTACTATAACAGTCGACTGCTCCGTCCTCCATAGCACCCCTATAGCTCGGTGGATTGGCCCTCCCACCTTCACGGCAAGCAAGTCCTGGAAGACGAGGTCTAGTGGTCTGCAAACAAAAATTAAAAAATGGGGCCCCCTCCCTCCCCAGACCCCATAGTAGCCACATGAACTGCTAAGCCTATAGTTGTACTATTGGGGCCCCGTCTGGCTGATGCTCTCAGCCAATGGCATCTGCTGAAGATCAGTAATTTGACCCGTGTGATGGTTCCGTGTCACCGTACAAAGTCTGACCAGTGTGGCTCCTCCCCAATTTTTATCTCTCCTTCCATGGTACAGATTGCAGGCCGACCAACTTCTGGGAACATTTCAGCAAAGATAAAGAAATCGCCCAGGTGAGGGGCCGGCCTTAGCTGAGGCATCCCGTGGTACTGCTTGAAGGGGCCACTGTGTTACCATACTACATGTACAATAAGGAGGTCTTCCAGATGTAGCCTGTTCCCTACTGTCATGCTATAGAGCAGGGGGAGGCGAACTCCGGCCCTCCAGCTGTGCTGAAACTATGCATCTGCCTCTGGGAGTCATCCGTGTGGCTGTCAGTCTTGCAATGCTTCATGGGATTTGTAGTTGCTCCACAACTGGTGGGCCAGAGTTTGTCTACCCCGCTATAGAGCACCATAGGATCGTATGTGGAAGCAGTGGCCTCTCTGCAGCGGTCTAACGCGTTCCCCTCTGATTGAATGTTTACATCCCTCCATACAGCATGAGTCCGCTGAATTTTGTCTTTGGAAATGAATATTAGCACAAAGTTACAGCCGTCCTCTCTCTCTTTGAAGGGCAAACGGATCGCGGACGTGTCCAAGCGCCTTGGCCTGACCCTGGTGGTGTTCAGCGGTTTGGAGAACGTGAAGAAGCTGACCGGTGGGAAGCTGGAAGTGCTGCATTTCGATGGCAAAGGGGAGGTGGAGGAGTATTTCCGAGAGATCGGCGTGCCCATGACCAGCGTGAGACTTCCCAGTTACTACGAGAACTTGCTGACCTTCTTTCGGCCACAGAAGGACAAGGATGGCGATGGCTACACGCTGGGTAAGAGGACGGTGTACCGTTGCTGGGCCACCTATAGCCTGCCCACCGATGTGGAAATCTAGTCATGAAATGGACTGGAGGGGGTCAGAATACTCTTGTCTGTGGCTAATAACTACCACCCTGAGGTCACTTGTTGCCACTAGTAGAGCCAGGGTCTTCTTTTCTTGGATTCTTCTTCCCTTCCTGGGTAAGGTTGGTGCAAGTCAGGTGACTTCCCCTCAATTGTGGAACCACAATATGTTCTACAGCAGTAGACTATGGAACCTCAAGTCCAAGAAAGCCTTCAGAGGGCAATGCTGGTCCTAGACATCAGAAGGTCTTCAAGTATTGTCCACCTGTGGACCACAGAAGACTTGTGTCAAGCCCCCTCCCAAAAAAAACCCAATTGATTGCCTAGGAGGAAAGGTGCACGACACGACTCTTCTGTGGTCCACACTATGACCACACTTGAATACCTTCTGATGTCTAGAGCATTGCCTCTGAAGGTTCACTTGGACTGGTGGTCCCATAGCCTAGTGTTGTTATTCTGACTCCGATCGTTGTGATAGCAAAATATATCCCTTGCTGAGACCTCTATGCCTGGCCTGTATAAGCAGATATACTCACTGCGGACAATCCTCGTCAGATAGCTGAACTCGTCAATACCGATTCATTCAAAAGAGGTGTTTATTCTTTACATCAGGTTACAGCAGATGATAGGAACAGCAGTACTGTGCATTCAATTGGATCTTCCAGTTCTGCAGGAATAAGACAGTCTGAGTTAGTACTTTGTCCCATTGCTTGTTCAAGGACTTTCAGTCTTGCAAGGGCACCTGCTTCCTCTTTCTCCATTTGCAGATAATTACAGAAAGCATGCTTGTTACAACAAAAGGCCACTAGATGGCAGCATAGGATAACACATGAATTTAGCTATGAGAAAATAGTTAGGCAAATCACACTATATAAATTCTAACCTATATAACAATGCTAATCTTAACTGAGGCTATGCATCTCATATTCTATGCCCCTGTTGGGGCAGCACAGTTGTAGAACATACTGTGGTACCACAATTATGTAACTCTAGGCTTTGTTTAGGCCGGAGTGTAGAAGCTGTTGGTGGTCCCGCCGGGTAGATTGACCCTCTCCTTGTCCTGGTGACCATAGTCGGTGAGACGGAAGGTTATAGGAAGTCCAACATTTTACAGATATCACTGGAACAAGAGGTGATGGAAAGTCTTCCAATTGGGGATCTATGTTGCTTTGAGAACTAAGAGGGACTTTTCTGTAACTTCCTGCTGTGTCTCTGCCTTTCACTTCCTGTCCCATTCTCCACAGCAGGATACAGATGGCAAAAAACTCCAAAAAGTGTTAACCACTTCTGAACCTTTATCTAAAATGTTTAAATGTTTTGGCTCTAGATATACAGTACTCTAAGCGTTCCCTTTCTCTATGTTCATCTATCAATGTTAAAGGATAAGTGCACGTCCTGTCCGAACATCATGTATAGTGTACCTATGAAATGCTCTGTTTTTGCAGGCTTCCCTATGGGTGATGTCCCTCTGGATGGGATGTCCGTGAAGGATCTGGGTGGCATAGTTCTCAGCATCTTGCGGTCTCCCTCGAAATACGCCGGCAAGGACATCGGCCTCAGCACAGAGAAGCTGACGACGGAGCAGTACGCTGCCATAATGACCAGAGTGCTCGGCAAGAACATCAGAGACGCCAAGGTAATAAGTGGTGACGAGGGAGGGCTCTACTCAAAGCTTGTACAGGAAACTGACGCAGACAGGAATACAATGTGAGGATTGAGGAAGAGAGCTTCGGCTTGTGTTTATATCCAGATTCTGTTTATTTGTGGATGCATGCAGTACAAAAGGCCAACACGTTTCAAGGGTTCCAAGAGGCCTTCTTCAGGGCGTGGGAATGTAGGAAAGGTTGAGGTCTGGATGACGGCCAAACTATTGACTGTGAAAAGATATTCAGGATTTGTACAAATTTGCTTTTGTGAACCACATTGGTCTCCATCTAGACCTTAACCTTTCCCACATTGCTAAGCCCTGATGAAGGCCTCGTGGAACCCTCAGAACATGTTGGCCTCATATATGCACATATGAACACCCATTGTATTTGGCTGGAGTTGTGCTTACAATGAAAACTGTCATGACAGAAATGCAGAACTTGCCCCTGCTCAATTCTTCTGGGGAATTCAATTTGCTTGGTTATCGGCCTTCAATAACTTGAGCCACTCACCCAAAACAAGAACGCGGCAGGTAACTTCAGAATGCAGCAGGTGAGTGTAGAACAGGGATGTCCAAACTGCGTCCCTCCAGCTGTGGTGGAACTACGAATCCCATGAGGCATTGCAAGATTCTCACAGACATGACTCCCGGAGAGAGATGCTTCATGGGATTTGTAGTTTCACCACAGCTGGAGGGCCGCAGTTTGGACATCCCTGGTGTAGAACTTCCTGCACACTTGTTCCAGGCCAATGACTGAGACGACTGAAGGAAGGGGATCTGCATGCCAGGCAACTAGCAATTTCAGAAGACCGGCAGCGACAGGCTACATACCAGGACGGATTTACTTTCTCTGCTGCCCCAAGGCCAGGTTCCTCAATGCACACCCCTACCCGCCAACTCCCCTCTTCCCATGGAGAATGACAGACCTGCAGGCTGCATACAAGCGGGCTTCCCCGCTGTACATTTAGTTCTGCTTGCCCAAATCAGGGCTGAATGTAGAAAACGACTACCCGCCCGGCGCCTGGAACTGCATGTCCCGGGCATCGGGAGTCAGGAATTCCACATCCTTTCTGCCCCCTCTACTCCCTGCTGCCCCGAGGCCGGGCCTTGGTTGGCCTTGTGGCAAATCTGGCCCTGGCTACATATATCATGGCAGGCCCCTGTTTCACGAAGCTCATGTTTAACCCTTGCTCTTCCTTCTGCAGTTGTCTCCTGCTGTCTATGCAAAGCTGGGCTTCCCCGGAGCACAAGAGCTGGCCAACATGTTTGAATTCTACACCATGAAACCCAACCGCGATGTTCAGCTCACCCTCCAGCTCAATCCCAAAGCCAAGAAGTTCCAGTGCTGGCTAGTGGAGAACAAGGCCGCCTTCGATGACCTGTGAACCTCCTTCCCTTATACAGTGAAAGGACTGAAGTGTTTGTTCAATGTGAACTTGTGTTTCCTGCTGCACTCTTTACCGGATCAATGGATGTCCTGTATGTACAGGCGGGTGCTCTTAGTGACCACGGGTGGCACCGTGATCAGCATATGGCAAAAGGGAATATCACCAGCACACCAATCAAAGGGTTTCAGCAAAAAGTCCATTTAATGATGAATGCCATTCAGATACAAGCTATTTCAGGGCCTCAAGGGGTCCCCTTCATCAGGCTCGGAATGATGAAGGCCCTTTGATTGGTGTGCTGGTGATATCCCTTTATCCTTTTGTTTCCTGAACCACATAGGTCAGATCGCTGAATTTTGTCCACGTGGTAGACCGATCCACCTTCCCACTAACACCAGCCGGGACTCATCTGTGTTTTTGTAATAAAATGAATATTTTGAATCCTAATTGGCTTCCTTCTTTCTGCTATGAGCAAAATTGTGGATTCTACTGAAATCCTGACATCGGGATTGGTCTATGAGGCGGGGAAATAAGCACGTCATCATACAATGGACTGTAATTCTGTAAGTGTATCTAAAGCCACTTGATAAAAGTAGGGAATGCTTAAAACCCATGTTTGGGTTTTTATTTTATCCCTGTGGTTAGATTATCTTTACTTCCTGTCCCAGAGATAAAACAGGAAGTGAGAATATCTCCCCAGAGAGTGGAAATCCCCCCTTAGACCGTTGTCATCAGAACGTGGTGTCACCATTGGTAGATTTACCCTCACCTGCTGCTCTATTTGGGGATTGCCTATCCCTTTCTGTCCCAATAATGGCCACCAGTTCAAATAGAGAGGCTGATACTTCCCCAGTGAGGACCTATTGTTGATCGGGATTCTAATCCTTCCACATTCCATCCTAAATTGGAAGTTGGTGGTTCTCTTTAGATCTGCTTTACCGTCCTACAAACTACACGTTTCATTTGCACAGTTATTGCCGAATATGAAACGCCGAATCACATTTAACATACAATATCCCCCTGTCCATGTGACCGGTCCCCTAGGACCACTCATCCTTGGTGCTTCAGTCGTGGCCACTTGGTCATCAGATAGAATGGAGGACCAGCAGTCCTGCATTGTGAGGATGGCGAGAGCTCTTCCACAACCTGGAGTGTTGGAAGGAAGAAGAGTGCACAGTTTTGAGGAATACGTCAAGTATTGCAGCTTGTACCTCTCCCCCTAGACATGACGAGCCCCCACTGCAAGGGGAGTTTGGAAAATTCCCCGGAGCTTTAAAGGGCAGGAGAGGAAGGCCGTTCTGATTGTGGTTGGTCAAAGTAAGGTGATGTTTCATTATAGAGCAATGAGCACACAGCGGGGCAGTGGTACCAGGTCTGCTGCATGGCACAAGCTTGATACCCTTATTCCATACAGCATGGGGTGTGTAGGTCTGGAGTGTATCATGACATTACCTCTAGCTCATTACAGTACAGGATATACCATCTTCTCCACTGATTAGACAAGTGATCCAGTGCTGTCCAGAGGTAGCGGGTCTTCCATCTGTGACGTATAGCATGGATGGAGGAACCTGTTGTATGGTTTTAATTATAAAAATATGTCTGTGTGTAGCCAGCTTTACTCTGATTCCTCTGCACACTGGGAGCTTCTCACGATGTGCATTAGAAGGTGCAGCAGCCAGCAAGTCAGATAGAGCCCGCCTCATTGGCTATCCTTGATGTCAAGTAATCTGCATTGCAGCTAATTGCTCAATATATATGGATAAAAGGTGTGCGTTGTTGTCAAATGGCTGGGGTTAAGATGTTGGACTTCCCCTCCCATTCTGTTCTTGGACAATCACCATCTAGGCATTCCAAGGTGACTGGATTGAAGTGGCCATGCTACCTATGGATAGAAATGCTGAGGTATGTTCCTGGTATGGTTGGGGTATAAAACCTGGGGAATGTTCCTGATATTTTGAGGGTATAGGTCCTGTGGACCGACCCTGGTATGGTGGGCGTATAAGTGTTTGAGGTATGTTCCTGGTATGGTGGGGGTATAAATCCTGGGAAATGTTCCTGATTAAGGTAGGGGTTATAAAGGCTGATATGTTGAGGTTATAAATCCTAGGGTATGTTGCTGATATGTTGAGGGTATAGATCCTGGGAGATGTTCCAGGCATGTTGAGGGTATAGATCCTGGGAGATGTTCCTGGTATGGTGGGATTATAAATTGCGGGAGATGTTCCTGATGTTGAGGCAGGGCTTGAAAAATTTTAAGGCGTCAAAAATGTCACCGGTCAGCATGAGGGAGGGGTCATTTGTTTTTACAATGTAATGAAAAAAGTACCGTAAATTTCGGGGGGAAAAAAAGTTTTCCTTTACGTTATGTTAAAAAACCCATATTTTTCGTAAAATATAAAAGACGGGGTCACATCGGGTAAAGAGACACCAAACATGTCACGCCTTAAAATTGCGCGCACCCGCAAAATCGCAAAAAAAGACCACACCGAAAATTGGCCATACTGCTCATCAGTTTAGTGTTATCAGTGATTAATGGCCCTAAAATTATTGCTCTCATTCCGATGTTCGCTGCGATATGTAACATGTGTCGCACAATAGGCATAAGAAGCTCCCTATGTAGGGTTGCCACCCGTCCGGCTTTGACGTGTTGGGTCCGGGCACCCGGACACATGACACTCAGTGCCGACACCGGGAGGAACATAGTGGAACGTCTCCTCCTTCTCTATGATCACCAGAGATAGAAGAGAGGAGGAGCGATCACAGATATGGCCGCCGAGGTCTTTGTCAAGCGCGATCGCAAGCAGCCACATCGGACTGAAACCCGAATCATTCTCTCAGCTGCGGGCAGTCTGGGCCTGTTTACATGTGCCCACAGCTCGGAGAAAGATTCGGGTATCAGGCCGATGGGCTGCTCGTGATCGCGCTTGACAAGGACCTCGGCAGCCACATCTGTGATTGCTCCGCCTCTCTTCTAACGCTGGTGATCATAGAGAAGAAGGAGGAGACGAGGAGACGTTCCTCTATGTGATAGATCAGCAAAGATAGAAGAGAGGCCGGGCTATGTAGATCCCCATGCAGCAGCATTGAAGAGGCATGGAGGCGGGGTTACAGAAATAGCCGAGCGGCAGGGGGAACGAAGATTTACAGGGGAACACAATTCCACACAACACCGGCTCACTGACACGTTGCTGCCTGCCTGTGGACCCCCTGGTGAGACACCATAGCCCAGACAGCACTGAGTGTCGCACAGCCCACCCGAGTGTCACTGTCGCACAGCCCACCCGAGTATCGCACAACCCACCTGAGAGTCACACAGCCCACCCGAGTGTTGCACCACCCACCTGAGAGTTGCACAGCCCACCCGAGTGTCACTGTCACACAGCCCACCCGAGAGTGGCGCAGCCCACACAAACCACCAGGCCACCTGGAGACATCGGGGCGCCAACCCAGAACAGCACAGAGTATGTAGCTTCACATTATTTTGTATTGCTGTATAATGCATTGCTGGGATTTGTAGTCCTCTATAGCTGGTCTCCTCACTCCCTCCCCTGGCCGCCTCTCCTCGTGCTCTCCTCTTTATTTTCCCAAAAAACTAATTTGCCGCGTGCGGCGCTAGAGTGTTCGGGTTTCACATGAAGAAAAGGTGGCAACCCCAAATGGTGGTCAGGTGTCAGCCATGAACAGAATGAGATGAATGAACGGAGGGTTCCCTGGCCGGGGGCCCCGCTGGGCTCAGTGTCCCCGCTGGCCGTCTGTTGTATTTGCTGAGTCACCGTGACTCCTGGACGTCAGCCAAACAACAGCCAGGGGTGGGGAGGACCTCAGCCACCTACTAAAGCTCCTCTCTCTCATTCCTCCTTCATTCCAGGAGTGCTGAACATCTCTGGCCAGAAGCCATCCTCATCCTCTGCCATGTCCAAGAAAGTGGTCGCAGTCTTCGGAGCCACAGGTGAGCGAGGACGGCAATCCTTCTACTGGGGGGTAAAGTTCACCGCGCTGGCCAATGTTTTCTCTGCAGCTCGCTCTGCGTTCCTTCCTGCAAAATTGTGACCCCTCTCCGGGTGCTGATCCAGTCCTGAGATACAGGCAGCTCTGCCACTCAGCACAGTCCTATCTGGCAGGGTGGGGGAGGGGGACCTGGTTTTCCAGTGACAGTTGGGTAACACTTACAGAGAAGGAGGCCGGCGCGGAGGTGGTAGCGGCGGATCTGGATGACGAGAAGAGCGTGGAGGCCGCCCTGAGCGGAGCTTATGCAGCTTTCGTGGTCACCAACTTCTTGGAACATTTCAGCAAAGATAAAGAAATCGTCCAGGTGAGGGACCGGCCTTAGCTGAGGCATCCCGTGGTACTGCTATGTACTCAAATCTCTACCCTTGAAGGGGCCACTGTGTTACCATACTACATGTACAATAAGGAGGTCTTCCAGATGTAGCCTGTTCCCTACTGTCATGCTGTAGAGCAAGGGTAGGCAAAGTCTGGCCCTCCAGCTGTGCTGAAACTTATGGGATTTGTAGTTGCACCACAACTGGTGGGCCAGAGTTTGTCTACTGCCGCTATAGAGCACCATATGTGGAAGCAGTGGCCTCTCTGCAGTGGTCTCCCCCCCCACGCCTCTTTCTTGATTGAAGGCTACATCCCTCCAGACAGCATGTGTTGGCTGAACTTGTTTTTGGAAATAAATATTAGCACAAAGTTACAGCCGTCCTCTCTCTCTTTTAAGGGCAAACGCATCGCAGACGTGTCCAAGCGCCTTGGTCTGACCCTGGTGGTGTTCAGCGGTTTGGAGAATGTGAAGAAGCTGACCGGTGGGAAGCTGGAAGTGATGAATTTTGATGGCAAAGGGGAGGTGGAGGAGTATTTCCGAGAGATCGGCGTGCCCATGACCAGCGTCCGACTTCCCTGTTACTACGAGAACTTGCTGACCTTCTTCCGGCCACAGAAGGACAAGGACGGCGATGGCTACACGCTGTGTAAGAGGACGATGTACCAGTGCTGGGCCACCTATAGTCTGCCCACCGATGTGGAAATCTAGTCATGAAATGGACTGGAGGGGGTCAGAATACTCTTGTCTGTGGCTAATAACTGACACACTGAGGTCACTTGTTGCCAATAGTAGAGCCAGGTTCTTCTTTTCTTGGATTTTTCTTCCCTTCCTGGGGCACAGTTGGTGCAAGTCAGGTGACTTCACCTCAGTTGTGGAACCACAATATGTTCTACAGCAGTAGGCTATGGAACCTCATGTCCAAGAAATCCTTAAGAGGCTAATGCTGGCCCTAGACATCCGAAGGTCTTCAAGTATTGTCCACAGTGTGGACCCCCCAAAAAAACAATGGTTTGCCCAAGCTTGCATATTTATGCCTACGGAGAAAGGGGGGCACACGACACAACTCTTCTGTGGTCCACACTTGAATACCTTCTGATGTAGAATCTCCGAAGCTTGGGCAATCCATTGTTGGGAGCGCGGGGTGCATGACACGACTCTTCTGAGGTCCACACTGTGACCCCACTTAAATACCTTTTTCTTTCCTTCCTGGGGCAAAGTTGATGCAAGTCAGGTGACTTCCCCTCAATTTTGGAGCCACAGTATGTTCTACAGCAGTAGGCTATGGAACCTCAAGTCCAAGTGAACCTTCAGAGACTAATGCTGGCCCTAGACATCAGAAGGTCTTCATGTATTGTCCACTCTGTGGACCACTGAAGACTTG